AGGAAAAATAATAAGATGGCAGGAACGAAGGAGAGAGGGGGGGGGGGGGGGGGGGGGGGGGGGGGGAACTAAAGAGACCCAGAGTAATCAAATTTTACCAGGGTAGGGCATGTGACTCCTTCGTTCCTGACTGATGCCGTGATAGAATTCCAATCAAACATCGACTTACAATCACGTCATCAGTCTACGTCACTACGGAAACACATGAGATTTGAACGTCCTGGGTGCGCGAGGACAATAAAGTCACTTGTGAAAAAATGCACAAGCCTCACAAATAGTTTATTTTGTGTAATTTATGAGGAATCATCTAAAATCAATTAACAAGATATTTGTGAATTGCTCTATGTGTATAGTGCAGTTCTTATTCCTTGTTGCTATACTGTTCGAGAACTGTAGTACCGAAATTATTATTAATTAGTTTGTTATAGTATTTAGCAAAGGTTAAACTGTTTGTCCAGCCTCCCGCCTTGAGGATGTCAGCTAATGGTAGACCCGAGGCCTTGTAGTAGGAGGTGGATGCTGATCTGCCACTGTTCCCTGAGAATTCGGATGTATCAATACCAGCATCTTTGAGCACTGATTTTACCCATCTACCTATTGTAGAACTACTAACTGGGTTGTGTGGCTTTGCAAAACTGATAAGTAGCTGATCATGTGGACCATGTGTACGTAGACTTGTAGTGAGTTCTAGATATTGAGTGATATGCTCTACTACACACAAGTTGGGATTAGGTTTGTATTCCCGTAGTTCTATAGGTTCAAGATGTCGTCCCGGTTTGGAGGTTTTTAGAGTCTCCCGAATCGTGAAGATATAACTATTCTGAGTCTTTTGCATGTACTCAGTGTTCAGTTTAGCGATAGTCTGACAGCGTTGACCCGTTAACAAGCACAACAGAGTTGTAAGTTTTAGTGTCAACACCTTCAGCGATAGGTCACGTAAGGGAGATAGAGTGTTAAGATAGGTCAACACTGTTCTCACATCCCAAACATGTGTGTACCTAGGTAATGAGGGTTTCATTTCGTAAACACCCTTTAAAAATCGTGTGACTAAAGGATGTGTGCCAAACGTCACGCCTGATGTATCAATAACCATGGATAGTGCTGACCGAGCAGTATTAATTGCACTATATCCCAACCCATTTTCATAAAGATGGGTTAAGAAGTTGATACCGTTTTCAATCGATGCATTGTGAGGATCTATGTTATTGTCAGCGCAATAATGTTCCCAGCGTGTTAAGTACGACTGGTACTGCTTGCACGTGGATGATCGCCATGACGCCATGATGATTTCGTTTGCTTTTCTGGAAATGGGCACTCTCTCTAGAATTTTCCTGACACTTGGCAGACGAGAAGACTCAGTTTTTTCCAAAGAGGGTGCAGGGCAGTCTCGTCGCTTGGCAGTGTTAGTAGCGTTTTCTGTGGTGTTAGCACTATTGGGGGCTGCGTGGACATTTTCATTACCTGGGGATACCATGCCTGGGTTGGCCAGTCGGGTATCACTAGTACCCCCTCGGCTTTGTCTTCCCTGATCTTCCTCAGCACTCTCATTAACAAGCTGAATGGGGGGAAAGCATAGAACTGTAAATGTGACCATGAGAGCGTTAGGGCGTCTATGGCAAACGCTCCAGGGTCTGGCCTGTAGGAAACATACTTTTGAAATTGTTTATTTAGCCTAGAGGCAAATAAATCAATATTAGGTTCTATACTTAGACGGAGCAGTACAGAAATTAGGAGTTGGCCGTGAAGCATCCATTCCCCTTCGGTGCGATTACATCGAGATTCTAGATCGGCCGAGATGTTTTGTTTTCCGGGGACGTGAGCGGCGGTCAACCACACGTTCCGTTCGACCGCCCAACCCCAGATTGACCGACATAACTCATTAAGTGCATGAGAATGGCTAGTTCCCATGTGGTTAATCACGGCAACTGACGTGCTGTTGTCTATCATCAATCGGATATGACTGTTGCGAACGTTAGTTAGGAATGATTTGAGACCTAGAAATACCGCAAGTAATTCTAAGTAATTGATATGGCGTTCTTTCTCGCTAGTAGACCATAGCCCGCCAGTTGTGTTATCTTCATAAACCGCGCCCCAGCCTTCATTACAGGCGTCCCGTGGTTAGTGTGTGGTTGGGTTGTTCGCGTTTAATGACATTATGAGTGCGAACGATGTTATCAACCCACCACTGTAATTCACTTTTTGCGCGACTAGATAAGGTCAACCATTTGTCAAATTTCCAGTTGTTAGCCTTAAGCGCCTTCGTTTTATCTCTTTCCAGAGACCTAAAATGTAGTGGCCCGTACATGACCCCAGGAAACGTGGCGATGATTTTGCCTATAACCCTGGCGGTTTCTCTAATAGTAGGGCGCACCTTCTTTAACAATTCTATGCACAGTGAACGAACATTAAGCGCCTTTTCTGGGGTCAGCTTTACTGTCATTGCAACTGAGTCTAGAACGAACCCCAAAAATTCGCGCTCCTGCGATGGAGAAAAGGCCGACTTTTCAGGGTGTATGACAAACCCCAGTGAATCCAACAGTGCATATGTATCTGATAAGTTATTTAAACAGTCCTGGTAAGTCGTGCCTTGTAGGTAAGGGTCATCAATGTATGCAACAATAACGTGCCCTTGCCCGTGTAATTTTGCTAAGACCGGTTTGAGGATTTTTGTGAACTTGCGCGGAGCACAGGAAAGACCGTTAGGAAGGCATGTGTACCTATACAGTTTGTTATCCCATTGGAATTTTAGGAATTTCCTGTCCGATTGTGCGATTGGCACCGAGTAGAAAGCATCTTTTAAGTCGATGGATGCCATAAAACAATTTGGTTCAATTAAGTTAATTACAGTTTGTAAAGTATCCATTTTAAAGTGAACCTTAGGAGAGGATTGGTTTAGTTGTTTAAGGTTCAATATTAATCTATGTGTGCCGTCTTTCTTAGGCCTGGCGAATATAGCAGATATGATTTCGCCGTGAGTGTGCCCGGTGGGCTCGATAATTGCTTTTTTCAAGAATTTATCGATTTCGGCCTGTATGACACTTGCCTCTGCCTGCGAGTGATTGGGTGTGTGTAGACGGTGTTGTTCAGGCTGCAGAGAAAAATCAATTCGTAACCCCATGATAGTTGAGATAACCTCGCGGTCAGAAGTTAGTTTTAGCCAATTATGTAAGGAATGCCGCAAGTTTCCGGCCTTAAATGCTGCACATTTAGCGCGCAGATTATCGAGTAAAGGTGGGGTGACCCCTAAATTACTATTACTAGGAATGTTTTTGATTACCTGTTTGTGAAGCTGCGTAAGTCCATCCATTATTTCTCGTCGTCTTTGTAGGGTTTGTGAGGTTTCTTTTTGGGGTGTGATTTCTTGCCCTTGTGAAAACCCGGGCGGAAGTCGCCAGGGGAGCGCCGATGACGGTGGTCGTTGCCGGTTCGGCGTTTCTGGTTGTTTGAGGACGATTTTGTATATCCTACGGCTTGTCCAAGGCGCGTAGTTTCTTTAGCGTCGCGTATTTGCTTGGCTAAATCGTCCCCAAATAGCAGTTTATGGTTTTCTCGCTCTACATCCGGTCCACAGATATTGCGATATTCTGGCTTTAAAGCCGTTCGGATTTGTTCGCGCCGTAAGCTGGACAAATCTGAGAAGGCATGGCCTAACAGAGCGAGAGCGTCCACCCCATCATTAAGGACAGGCTTTTTGAAGTTTGTATCGGAATGGGACATAACCCTATCGCACATGGTGAGCACTGCTGCGGTCGCACGCTGGATAGTTTGTTGTAGGTTTTGCAATCGTACATCATCTGATTTTTTAAAGCTGTCCAGCTGTCTCCATAGTTCGGTGTTTAGTCGCGGGATCACCATGTCGACACAGTTGTCTGGTGGGCAATGTTTGTCCAATATGGACGTCAACTTTGTTTTGCCCATTCGTTTGCCCCACCGTTTCGCGGCCAGGTCGGCCAGGGGTTGGCGAATTGGGGGCCCCAACTTATCGTCGTCCTGTATGGATAACTCGAGCTCCTTGAGGAGCTCATCATCCTCGTTGAGGGATGTTCCTTTAGCGCCGGTGGCGCTATCTGTTAGTAAGCCCTCTACGTCGTCGTCTTGCGCATGGACGCTAAGTACTTCGTCCTCGTCCTCAGATTCTGAAGAGCGTGTAGAGATGGTGCAACGACGCTTACTTGGACTCGAGCTGTCTTGTCTGCCCGGTGGGCTAACAGGCGCTCTACTCTGAGCCGCTTGCAATGGCGGTTCGCCGCTAGTGGACCTGGTGGGTAGGCTTTCGCAGAGTTTCTGCATGTATCCCACCATGACGCCCATGCGTTCGTTCATGGCAGCTATCGCGTCGGTGGAATTAGTACTAGTGTCATGACTTCCATGGGCTGTTTCCATGGGTTCAACGTTTAGTGTAGCCAATTGGTCTTTGTCCGCCATAATGAAAACCTAAAACTGTATGGTTAGGAATAAAATCGAGAGAGGTGAGCGTAAAGATTAATATAGGTGTAAACACAAGGTTTTAGATACAGGCTACTCACGATCGAGAGAATAAACCAGCCCAGAATGGGCATATGTAGTCGTGGTGTAGTTTCTAGCCGGAGCTTGAAGAGTACGTGCTGTCTAGCAATAAGCAAAGCATGCAATGATTCAATAAGCAAGCGCGTGCTTCTCATGTGTCTCCGTAGTGACGTAGACTGATGACGTGATAGAATTTATATCATGGTGTCAAAGGCAAATGCATGCTGGGATACCACATTGTACAGCCTATTTTTAGCACAACTGATTCTGTGTATAAAGGACTGCGCGGCAAAACAGTCTTCTCAATCGCGCAGAGCATCAGCAATAGCAGCATCTCAGACTATTGGAAATACATACAAGATAGACACGATAAGAGCAGAGATTTAAAGCTTTGTTGGGACTGGAAACGTACGGATTGAGTTTGTTTTTGTGGTTTCCAGTTTGTTTCCGCAACTAACGAACAAAGCCACACTAAAATCTACGAGATTAAAACAGCTAATTACAACTTAGAAGAGTGGAGCGATAAATTGGAACCATATACTCTTAAAAGAAATGACCACAACGGCCTCAGAATTACTTTCATGGTAAGATATCTACGCAATCTTTTACAGAAATATATCTATTTTTGAACTATAATTATAATATACTTAGAACGTTTTTAAACCACTGCCTATCTAACGTTATTCCTTCATACATCCGTTTAATATGTTTGAACAGTTGGGTCATTCAGCTGCCGACAAACTGTCTGCAATAGGTTCATAATGAAGTGATAAAGAAAGAACATCCGAAAAAAATTTATGAATATTTTCATATATTATACTTTTAGATATGGATCCTGATTGAATTTTGATACCTTGAATTTGCCATATATTAATTAAGCCGGGCGTAAAGGAGGGAAGAGGGAAAGAAAGAAGGAAAGAAAAGAAGAAAGAAAGAAAGAAAGAAAGAAAGAAAGAAAGAAAGAAAGAAAGAAAGAAAGAAGGAAAG